GGAGGCCCAAGAAACTTCCTCTTTCTGCTGGAGACAGCTGCCTATTTTGTGTTAAAACATTACATGGTGACCTTTTCTGAGACTTTGCACTTAAAGACCCAGTATGTAAACATCATACTTCCTTTCTGTTCCTAAAATACTAAACGAGGGGACAGGGTGGACTCAATGGCTCCCTCCGGCTCTCCTGGACTTGCTGATCGAGACACTCAAACCCAGGGCTCACTACATCAGAACCTCAAAAAAAATGTCTTGTAAATGTCATGTAATTTACATGTCCCTGATGCTCTTTCCCACCACTTCTTTTTGTCCGTGGGGGAGCAGGGATGCCACACAAGCCCAGTTATTCAGAGAAGGGGACAAAGGAGGGGTGTAGATACTGAGGCTGTGAAGTTTAAGCTGTACAGCCAAGCAGCCTCTGGTCACCAGCAGGCCCCACCAGCAGACGGAGATCCCTGGAGAACAGGTGTACCGGCTGCCAAACCGAAGACCCAGTCTCTCCAACTGATGGCTCCTTTTAAACGGGACACTGTCTTGACCCTACATTTCCACGTGAAGATTTAAGTTGGCCAAGTTCACACTGAGCTAGGAAAAGCAGATTGCGTCCTTTTAATCTTTCTCTTATCAGTCCATGGTTGTTTCCAGATAGTGAAAAGTATAGTGTACATAACCACTGGCTCAGGTCACGGCTGAGCCCTGGCGTTTGGGCCTCTGCTCTTGAGTCAGATTGGCAGCAGCCAATGCAACTGTGCGGAATCAGCTGTTCGAATGGTTGACAAAGTCTATGTGACACTAAACTGCGGAGGGGTGTATATGAGGACTCAAAGGTAGTGTTTACAAAGTGCAATAAAGATGAAATAAAATACAGAAAAAGAAACCAGAGCACTGTTTTGGTACCCCCATGCACAGTGGGTCCTGTGTACCTGTGTCTGATGCTTTGCTGCAGGAGTCTGTCCAATCTGCTTGCTTTCCCTTCCTGGCACCTCTCCTGAAAGCCCCTTTGGGTTTAGGAGAGAGAGAAAATTCTGCTTGTTGCTTTTGCCCGAGTTAGAGTCATTGATCATTCAACAAACACTATCAAGTACCTTCTCTACCACGGGCACTGCAGGTGCCGATCGGGGTAAGGCATTGTTTATTCTCCACCTGGATGCGAAAGAAGCAAAAGGAAGCAGATTCCCACAGAGTGTGTTTGGAAAGACATTTGATAAGTGGATGTATAAACTCACATCTATTATGACACAGGAAGCCCCAAGACTACGGGCTGTGGCCAGGAGGACAGTGAAGTAGGACTGGGGAGGTAGGTGTCAAAATGAACATCTTCTTCTTCAAGTCAACCTAGAATCATAATATTTGCCATTTGCATTTTGCTCTTGCAGATTCTGTCACTTCTTAGTAGCGGCAGAGGGCAGCAAGACTGTGTGTGCGTTTAAAATAAATAGGGCTATCTTTGGTAAAATAGTGTGTTTGAAAGATTAAGGAATTCATCGTGAATAAATAGGTGTAGGGCAAGGTGATGAAGGCCGGGGGAGGATGGGGCTGTCCGCAGAAATGTCGAAGCTGCTCGCATGATCTCAGGGCCTGTCGGCCTCCTGGGAATGGATTCTGGGAAGCCACCAGCAAGCCAGGTGACCAGGTGCTGTGGCTCCTTTGGTCTAGAAACGTTGGTCCGCCACGACCCCCTCCCCTCGCTCAGACTCTCTCTGCTCATTACTGCTTTCTCACTCTTAGCTCACACACATGCTTCATGAGCCCAGGTTTACTATGAGGCCTCTCCATTCAGTTCCTGTCATAAAAATTCCAAAGTCCCATTAGAGGAGTCCAGTGGAACATCTCTTGTTTTCATGCCGGGGCCTTAACCAGCCTGTGGATTAGCTGTCTGTGGGACCCTGGCCCACCTCGGTCTAATTAGCCGTGGGCCCAGAGTGGTCCTTTGATTCCCAGCATTTAAAAAAAATTATTTAAACATTTAAAAATATTTATTTTTAGAGAGAAGAGAAGGGAAGGGAAGAGAGAGGGAGAGAAACGTCAATGTGTGGTTGCCTCTCACATGCCCCCTACTGGGGACCTGGCCTGCAACCCAGGCTTGTACCCTGACTGGGAATCGAACCGGTAACCCTTTGGTTCACAGGCCGGCATTCAATCCACTGAGCCACACCAGCCAGGGCTGAGTCCCAGAATTTCTAACAGGGAACAAAACAGACAGATTCACTTGGAAGGGCAAGTGGGCTGTGAACAGGCATCTCTCAGGTAGTTTTATATCTGGATGTGGGCTAAGCAATCGCCATGTCATTGGACTTCAGAGTTTCTGAAGACAGAGCAAAGACGAACAGCTCAGTAGGACCCCAGACGTCTCCACGTCACCAGGAGATTAGAATAACACAGGGATAAGGGGTCTCTTAATTATTAATGAGCTTAATAATTAAGCTCATTTAGAGACAACTATTCATTGAGTACCTACTCTGTGTAAGGCAGATTCTTCAATCCACTAACTCTTGAATCTTTTTTGGCATGAGATGCTGGAAGGGGTGGGAGCCTACTTTTTAAAGAATATATACTTTTTGGAGTGCTTAACTATGCATTAACAGATCTTCATAAGAACACTGGAAGTGGTGCCATTCTACAGAGCTCAAAACTGAGGCTCGGAGAATCTGTTGCCTTTCATTTCTTTGTTTCGTTTAATTGCCCTGGCGAGGATGCCCAGTACAACGCCGAGTGAGTGTGGCTACAGCAGACGCCCTTCCTCTGTTCCTGATCATAGAGGACCAGCGTTCATTCCCTCACCGTTAAGTATGATGTTAGCTGTAAGTCTCCTCATAGATGTCCTTTATCAGGTGGAGGAAGTTCCCTGTTATGCTTAGGTTCATAGCTACGATTTTTTAAAATTCCACTTAAAAGGTAGGAAGATTAGAACCCTGAAAAATTAGGCAAACTGTTCCTACAGTTTTAGATAATTAGTTTAGAATATGGAGAAATAGTGATAATCTATTTCGATTCTGAATCCAGACTTCCCACGTTCAAATCCAAGCCTTGCCACTTACCTGCTGTAGAATTTGGGGCAAATTATTCACTGTTTTGTGCTTTAATTTCCTCATCTGTAAACTAGGGACAATCATAGCATCTACCTTATTAGGTTGTTGTGAGGATTAAAATCTATAAGTATTTATAATATGCTTAGCACAGTGCCTGGCTAATAACAAATGCTGCATTTTTTTTTCTTATGTTCACCTAAAATTCATGAAAGACAACTAGGTTCTATTTCAGAATGCAAGCCAGCTATGCTGGCTTCCAGATATGGGTTCTGCTCCATCTTTCCCCCAATGCTTGCCGCAGCTGGTGGTGCAGTTAGAACGTTAGGCTGGTAGAATTATCCCCTAGCTCTACCTCTAGCCCAGCCAAGACAGAAATCCCTTCTCTATGTGGCACCGGACCAGGCCTCAGCTGCCTTGTGAGCAAGGTTTCTTCAGGCTGATCGGACATTCAGGAAGCCTGAATTTCCTAACTCTGGGGAAGACCCGAGATGTGTCTTAGGTGACGGCGAGGTTTCCCAGGGCTGAGTTCCTGTGTTCCCTGCCTGCACTGCTAGGGCCTCCCGCTGCTTCTATCAGCGGGGGAAGTGCCACTTGACATGGCACTTGCAGCTCCTGGAACAGTTAGAAATAAACTCTGTAGAGTGGGCTTCCTGGGGACTGGCAGCGCCCCTTTTTCACCACTAGGGAACTGAATTAGGGGCAAGGATAGTGTTGGCTTTTCTGCCTTAACAACTACCCAGATCCCGAGTCAACACCTGAATATACCCTGGGCCCCTTTTTATTGAGCTCATTGTGGGTGGAGAGGGATTAGGCTCAGTCCTTTCATGGCATGTTTTTTAAAAAATTTTAAAGAACTGGACATGTCTGATTCCTAGGAATTCTTGGCTAGGAGACCTCCTGGTTTCAGACTGAACATGGGCTTTTTTTTCCCTCCTGACTGAGCAGCAGGATACTTTGCTCCCTTTAAAGACTGTTACATAATTAAGAGATGAGTTTGCTGCCAGCAAAGTCAAAATTTTCATTGAAATTCTAGCTCATGTGAATGTGAGGACTGGTTCAGGATGCAGATTTTTAAATCTCCAGAACTTGGCAACTCTGCTTTCGCTTTTCACTAAGTGCTGTAGTTTTGGATTTAGAGAATTATGCAGAACACGCTTGCAGCATCAGTGTGTTAAAATGGGGTGGGATCCCCTGTCCAGCTCTATGCGCTGATTCACCTTCACATTTTTTGCTGATGGTGGGGGAGGGGCTCTTGAAAATGAGCTACAGGAGCCTGAGCAACGAGGTCCATGGCTTTCTTAGTTCCAGGACTATGCTTATTTAAAAAATCACTCTGAGAAGTGCAAAGGTATGCCAATGTCACACTGGCTGTGTGTGTTTGGTAACAGATGAATGTGCAACATTAAGGCCTGCCTGTTTATACGACTAGCGATTGCACTGCAAAACCAACAGCTCACAGCCCAACCAGTCTTCCAAAATATCAGCGCGATGCATTTAAAATCTGCAACTTTGCAACGAGGTGCCCACAAAGTCCCTTCCTTGAATTTGCATATTTTTGTGCAAGAACGCAAAGCTTGTAAGTATGATTTTAGCCCGTTTTAAATGCTAAAAAAATAGTCCCCATTATTAGCTTGCTTAAAATACTCACTCAAAACTTTATTAAAAACATTTTTCAAAAAGAGTTTCACATCAGCAAGGCTTGACGGAGGGGTGGAAAAAAGGATCGTATATCTTTAACCCGCAAAAGTTAAAAGGTTTTTTTTTTTTTTTGGTTAGCTAACAATGGAAACTTTTTTTTTTTAAGTGTTTCCCTCCCTCGGTCTTGCCAAGCAATAGAAAAAAAAAAAAAAAAAAAGAAGAAAAGAAAAACTTGTTCCGCTGAGTTCAACCCCAGACAGGCTCACAACTTCCTTCCTGCTTTCCTCCCCCAAACCCCCGCCTATCACCCTCCTCCCTCCACCGCCCCCCCCAACCCCGCCTCAACTTTTTTTTTTAATCGCATATTGAACAAACACTGAAGTAGCCCTCAGCGGACACCGACAGGGCTGGTATCTCCGAAGCCGAGAAGGGAGTGCTGGCCGACTCTGCGCCGCCGCCGCCGAGATCGCCGGGTCCCAGCCCAGGAGCGAGTTTCTTTCTTTCGCACTCTTCTGTCTCCCATCGCTCGGGGAGGAAATCATTTCTGAGCTTTGTAACTTTTAAAGCCATCTTGTTGTTGGGCCATGTAGTCTGCACAGGACCCGGGAATCTGAGAAACTGCAGGTAAGTTTGGCGGCTTTTTTACGGGCTCTGGGTTCTGAGCCGTTTCCCTTCACTTCCATTTCTGAGGAGAATCTGAACGTTCCGGGTTTTGAAAACGCGCACAGAGGCGGGCTGGGGAGGCCGGGAAAGGGGTTTGGTTTGGAAGGGTGGCGCGGAGTCTGGGTGCGGGGAGAGCGGGGAGAGGCGAGTTGTCGGTGGTCCTCCCGCTCGCCTTCCAGGCCGCGGGCTGCGCGCCGCCTTCCCGGGCGGGCGTGCTGCAGGCGTCCCAGGCGCGGGCGGCCTGGTGGCTCCACGGGCTCTGGGCGAGGCTGCCCAGGATGCGGAGAAGCCCTGCTGCTTGGCCGCGCTGCCTGTGGCTTTCTATACCGGCCCCCGGGAGGTTTGCAGAGCCGCGGCTCCCGCGCGGCTGCAGCCACGCACGCCCTCGAGTTCCCCGGAGTGGGCTGGGGTCCCGGAGCCGGCAGGACGGCTGTGTCCTCCCGCACAGGGGGTGCGGAGGCTGACTCGCTGTCCGCGCGCAGACACACACACACACACACACACACACACACACGCCCACACGCCCACACGCCCCTCCGCGGGGGGCTACGGCGGTGGGCAGCGAGTATTGGTTCCGGTACGGGTGCTCGCGGGCGCGCGCAGGCGCGCCCACACTCACAAAACACACTTGTTTGAGGACAGGCGGCAGAGCCGGTGCTGAAAAACGCCTTGGTTGAGGCCCCGTCGCGCGCCCAGACCATCGTAGGCGGAGAAACAGAGTCCCAAGGCCAGGGTGGGGAAGGTGAACCTCAGGCACGCGGGGTCCCCCCAGACCCGGCATGGGGAAGGCAGCCCCCGCCCAGGTTCCGTCTGAGTCGGTCCCGGGTGACCGGAGGCTGGGATGGGGAGATCCTGAAGTCCAGGGGTCGGCGAGGCCCGTTGGGCCCAATATAACCACTTTTTGCTCAGGCCGAAGACCCGAAGAGGGCGGATGGGTGTCCACACTCGCGGAGGCAGCCACGCCATGCACGCAGCACACTTCGGCACCGAGTAGTTCTGCATCGTCCCCAGCCCATCCGCGTGGCTCCGGAGACGAGTCTTAGAATTTGGAACTTGAACACAGCCCCATACGCATCAAAACCCAGGGTGTGGGGTGGGAACGCACTTGGGAAGGGCACACCCACCACCGCGCTGGCCACTGACGCAGCGAGGGTTCGTGTGCCCGGTCTGTAGGTGAGACACCCAGTGGCACCCGACAGATTGGGGGTTTCTCAGGTCGAGTCGTTCGCTCCCCTCTCCCCCACACCAGCCCTCTAGTGTCCTGACGTTTCTCCTTGTGTCTCCACAGCGGCGCTGTTGTTTATGGAGCTTTGGGCGGGGGCTGAGCCCGAGGTCTTGCCCCTCGCCCGCCGCCCGAGCCATGCCACTACGTCTGTGCGCAGAGCGGCGGCCGCCGGGCCTGCGGGGCTGAGCCGGGAGCCGCGGGAGGACGAGGCGCGGGCGGCCGAGCCGGAGCGGGAGCCGCGGCGGCGCCGGGCAGCGCGGGACCCAGTACTATGGCTGTGTACTGCTACGCGCTCAACAGCCTGGTGATCATGAATAGCGCCAACCCGGTGAAGAGCGGCGGCGCCCCACGGGCCGGCAGCAGCGAGACACCCCCGCCGCCGGGGAGCGCCGTGTTGAGCCCCGGCAGCGTTTTCAGCCCCGGGAGAAGCTCCTCTTTCCTCTTCCCCCCAACCGAGTCGTTGTCGCCTGAGGATCCCGGGAGCCCCGGGGGCTGGCGGAGTGGCCGGCGCAGGCTGAATAGCAGCAGCGGCAGTGGCGGCAGCAGCAGCAGCAGCGTGGGCAGCCCGAATTGGGCGGGTCGCCTGAGAGGGGACGGGCAGCAGGTGGTGGCCACCGGTCCCCTTTCCCCTCCAGGGCCAGAGGAGGCCCAGAGGAAGCTGCGAATCCTGCAGCGCGAGTTGCAGAACGTACAGGTGAACCAGAAAGTGGGCATGTTCGAGGCTCACATCCAGGCGCAGAGTTCTGCCATTCAAGCACCCCGTAGCCCGCGTCTGGGCAGGGCGCGTTCACCCTCCCCGTGTCCCTTCCGCAGCAGCAGTCAGCCCCCAGGAAGGGTCCTGGCTCAGAGCGAGGAACGGAGGACCAAGTCCTGGGGGGAGCAATGTCCAGACACCTCAGAAGCCGACTTCCAGAGGAGCGCTGGGGCGCCCCGCCCAAGCCTCTCCCAGGACAAGGAGGGAGCGGCACCTTTTCCCTGCTTGGACTCCCTGTCGGGATCGGGGGCTCAGGGTTCATCCGCTTCCGTGACAATTGAGGAGGGGGTCCCAGCCAGACCCCAGTGTTGCTCACCCGTAGCTGTGGAAATCGACAAAAGGGTCTCCCCTCCTTCCGGGACTCTGAGCTGCCAAGCTCCTTCCTCAGGGCTTGTTGGAGCAAACTCTGTGATGGCCACAGAAGTGGCAGCTAGAGCTACATCCATTGGGCCGCACCATCCATACGACCCTGCGCTCGGTGAGCTGTTTGAGCGGCCCCGGGAGCTCTTGGGTGTACATCCCCCAGCCCTGCTGGAGAGTCAGGGGCAGTTTCTGGGCAGTGAGACAAGACCAGCCCCTGAGAAAGGGGGGCCGAGCCCTGTGGATCCCCCTGGGAAGGTGGGGAAAGGAAATCTGCCCAGTGGCTTGCAAGACTCCCCGGAGCCCGAATCGGGTGGAAGGCCAGAGGAAAGGACTGTGGAGGCGCAAAGCTCAAAGCCCGCTGAGGCCCAGAACTGGTTCAGGCCATCAGGAGACTGGGGCTCTGTAGGGCCCGAGGGGACCCGCAGTGTGGCCGCAGTGGTGGAGAAGCGGCCACAGCGCTCCAACAGAGTGGATGAAGAATCTGCAACACTGGGCTTGCGTGGGGGCAGCTGCTCAGCACAGCCAGGTGCAGGGGAGGCGGAGGCGGGAATTCCCACTAGCAGAATGCTGGAACCTTTGCCCTGTTGGGAAGCAGCAAAAGATGTGAAGGAACCTCAGTGCCTTCTCCGGGACGGGCTGGGTGTGCAGCCTGGGAGCCCCAGGGTTTGCCTGGGCCCCATGGAGGAAGCCTCTCTGGCCTGGACGTGTCGCACTGGGGCACAATCCCAGGGGACCTGGGGAAGCCCACCAAAGGACAGAGTCACCCACCCCAGCCTAGAGCTGCTCTCCCCAGATCAGAGGGACAAGGCTTCTCCGAGGGAGGCCTGCAGCCCCAGCAATATACCTGCAGTGATCATTACAGACATGGGCGCCCAGGAGGACGGGGTCTTGGAGGAGACCCAGGGCAGCCCGCTGGGCAGCCTTCCCCTGAGGAAGCTGTCTTCTTCCTCTGCCTCCTCCACTGGCTTCTCCTCCTCCTATGATGACTCAGAAGAGGACATCTCCAGTGACCCTGAGCGCTGCCTGGACCCCAACTCTGCCTTCCTCCATACCCTGGACCAGCAGAAGCCCAGAGTGGTAAGTCTTGCCCTGAGATTTCTCTGGAAATGCTTTCATGCTCTATGTGTCCCCCCATTCTTCTGACTTTCTACTGAGTCATGAAGACTCTGAGGGGGGGACCCTGGGACAGTCACAACTTGCTGTTCTCTCCAGGTGTGTTTGCTGAACATGCGCTTTGTGGCTTGGGCAGCGAACACAAGTTTCTTCAATGCCTATTTCCGTGTACATCTTAGAAAACCATGTTGATGGTACCTCTGGTAGGTCACCACTCACTTCTTAGGATGATATTCGTGACTGTTACCACAACCGTCCTGATTCATCTCCGCCAAGTGTGAACAGAGCTGCAAGGGTAGCTTTTGTCTCTGGTGGAACCACTTAATTCTGTGATTCTTCTGGGCAGAGGAAAACTGATGAGCACATCATTGAGTTAACTCAGCCTCTGTACTCAGGAAAATGGGTGGCGTGACAGGGTCCTAAAACCTACAGATGTGGTTGTGGCGGGTCAGGGGGTGAAGAACCGCTCAGCGTCAGTCAGCTAAGTGAGGACATTGCAGTGTTCGTGGGGCTGGCATAACAAAGATACATACAGTTTGCTGTACAAATTGAAATGAAAACCATGCTTTGCATTCCTTTAATCACAGAATGTTCTACTAGGTCGAATTGCTTCAGATAGGGACCTGGGTAATATCTTTAAAGTAGACGGCACCTAATGGATATGCTGGGTGACTGGTGCAAGGTGGATTTCGTCATACTGACCTCTTATTCTGGCTGTGGCTGTGGACAAGAGTTTATTTCTACTGTGGTTAATCTCAGTCCTTGGCTGTTTTCACTCTTAGGATGTTCAGTGTTTTACGGAAGACGTAAGCGTTGAAGCTAGTGCTTCTGAAAAGGTCTGGACTTTCTCTTAGCTCTTCCAGAGGCTGGGGAATTTCCTAGCCCGAGTACAAGGGGTTCCTGTGCTGCCTTGGGGAAAGTCTGCGTCTCATTGTAGCAGGGAGCCTCGTGATTTCGTCTAGAATATCCAGTAGTATTCACTGTACCTCAATGACTTAAACCACGGCAACTGAGAACTTTATATCGCTACTCTGCACCCTTGCCTAAGGTATTTTGGACCTGAAAGCATGTTTCTCTCTCACTCCCACTTCAAATATCACAGTCTGGGTGTTTGAAGGCCAGGCATTTTTTTTTCCCCTGGAACTCCACTTTCTGTTGTTGATGAGGAGGCAAACATGCCCCAGTCAGCCTGGCATTCTGGGGCCAGGACAGGGCCTCAGGCCTGGGCGCACCACCTGGAGAGGAGGGACGGTCTGCCTGGAAGAGGATGGTGATAAAGGACAGGTGGAAAGTGTTTCTCCCTGGAGATGGGGCCCAGCTTTCTCTGCCTTCTTGCCTACAATTAAAGGCTCCATGAAGGGGATGGTCCTCTGTTCACCCCTCTCATTTGCTTTCCAAACTGGGAAGCATCACCGGCACAGCCAAGATGCCTTAACTTGTCCTCCAGCTTTCCATCCACCCTTTCTAGTGGTGGATTCGTGGCTCCTATTGGCTCGTTCTCAAAACAGTGTGTGTCTCTCAATGTTTGAAAAGGGCTCTTACCTGGAAGTGAGACAAAGGAGAGCTAAACAGTGACAGACGATGCTCATTATTTTTCCTGTGTCAGAGGGAAGCTGACCGAGAAACCCAGAGGCCAGAGGGGTGTTTTCAAGGCAGCTACCGGGTCCCGAGGTAGAAAGGAGGCCTGCCCTTTGTCCAGCTTCCCTCCTACCTTCAAACGGGTTTTCAGACACCCAGAGGGGGGCAGGGCCTGGGAAGAGTCCCCTGACACCTTTGTTCTCTGAATCACATGAGGCGGATGGTGGGTGTTGGGGGTGGGAGGAGGGTGGGCAGTCAACTGGAAATTACGGGATCCCGGGGGTGTTTGAGCTTCGGGATGAGTGTTCGCACGAGAAGCTAAGTTTTATTTCGTACAGGTTGTGATGGTGGAAACTTCCTTGAGACACCGTAATGTCTGTTCATTGGGTCAAAAACCCCTCGATTGCCTGATATTGATATTTCGTCTGCAGAAAGCCAGACATCTTGATTGGCTGGGCCTTTGGGCTGGGCTTTTCAGTGTTTTGTAGATAAAACCCGAGCCAGCTTTGTCTGACATACTATAACACCAACTCTCTGTTCTTACCTTGGACCTTTGTGGCTTGTTTTTAAACATTTATTTATTTACTTTTAGAGAGACAGGGCGGAATGGAGAAAAAGAGGGTGAGAAACATGATCGGTTGCCTCTCATACACACCCCGACTGGGGATCGAACCCACAGCCCAGCCATGTGCCCTGAATCGAACCCGTGACCTTTTGCTTTGTGGTATGACACCCAGCCAACTGAGCCACACCAGTCAGGGCCTGCTGCTGGTTTTTATGTTGCACTCCAGGTGCACACACGCTCACATGCATTCACACAGCTCACACATGTCCACCCTCACACACACACATACCCAGAAGCTGAAACGGCACGTTCAGCTTCCCAACCCCTGACCCTCGGGGGGTTTAATGCTGCTCAGCCTTTCCCGACAGTTAAACCTTTCGTGCCTGTGTGACAGGGACATGCTGCAGGGGAATGACTAATGGTGTGTGATGCTGTGCACAGGCCCTGGTGACAGCCCGGAGGAGCCTGACGCTGGCTGCCTTCTCAGCCCTCCTCCTGTCGGGTCACCCCGTGGCTCGTCACATTTGGGAGTCCCAGAGCCTGTGTGCAGAGAAATCCAGAGGGCGCCCCTCCAGTGAAAAACACAGTGAAAAAGCAAGGGGTTTGCAAGTGTACTCTGAAGATTACTTCGCCGCTTAGATTATGCAAAGCAGCAAAGGCCTTTTTACTGGGAAGGACCCACTCTCCTCATTTGCTTCCATGGGAAGGAGCTGGCTGTAAGGACCTCTCAGAAACACCCAAAGTGCTTCAGGCCTTGTCTGTTGTGGCTTCTGATGAGCCCGATAGATACATCTGTCCCCGAAGTAGAACGTTCCAAGTGTTTGCACCTGATGTCTGTTTGTAAAGGGTTAGATGCTTGAAATTTACTCGGAAGAAATTATTATACGTGTTGCGTTCCGTGGCTTGAATTTGGGCACATTTATTCTTCACTGGGGTCTGAACAGAAGCAGGTTGTACTGAGCAAGGGTGGTGTTCTCGTATCTCAGCCATTGACACACCAGGCTTAAAGCGCTGTATTCAAATATGTGTGCATGTCACTTTAAAAAGATTTTATTGATTTGTTTCAGAATTGTGCTATCACTTCTGGGTGCAAAAAAAAAAACCCCAAAAAACAAAACGTTGGCCAAGTTAGCCGTGAGGTGGAGGGTGGTGAATATATAAAGAAGTGTAGTACAAAATCTTTGGCTTTTTGGTGCTTACTAGTTTTAAGGGCCACCAGAATTTTGTTTCATTTTTTGTTTTTGTTTTGCTTTCCTATGGACTAGTTTTGTGGTCTTTTTAATTTTTTTTCAGTTGTGGTTGATGTACAATATTATGTTATTTTGGGGGGAACAACATAGTGAGTAGACATTTGTATAACTTGCAAAGCGATCACCCCGACAAGTCTAATTCCCACCTTTGTTGTCTTCGTTTAGTGAAAAACTAACTCATCCATGTACTAAAAACTTCAAACAGTTTATAAGGGTTGTATGTGGTTTTGCAAAGTATAAAATTTTTATTTGTGGGCAAGCCGAATTAAAATTTAAAAGCCTTCGAGGATTACTTTTTAAAAATGAGTGTAGTGGTGAGGACTTTGAAGTAGAAAATTCCTTTCTGGATGAGAACGTTGAGGGCCCAGATCTGGAGGTGGGGTCCGAGTTCAGGTTGAACATGCAGTTCTTGAGATGAGGCCCCCTTCCTCTTTGTTGGGTATGGAGAGGATCTTTCTGGCAAGGCTTCCATACCGTCCAGATCTGGGAGGACCCTGGGTCATTGATGTGAGGATCTGGGTGTTAACTCGAATCTGTGTAGGGACAAAAGAAAAAACAAGACTCAGAGAGCCAAAGGGACTCAAGGACACATTCCTGGTCTCTATTCTCTTGGCTCAGTTTCCTCCTTTTAAAATGTGACTTTTGGATGAGGGCGATCTGATAAAGGGTACCTGTCTAGCTCTGACTTTCTGTGACTATATAATTCTAGATATTTGATTTAAAACTTGGTGTATGTAACCCTTTAGGGTGTCAGGAAGTGTGACAAGACTCCTTTGGTACGGACTTCAGGCACTGCGGCCGAAACTGGGCACATTTAATTTTGTCCTTTTACTTCGGAGCCATTCATTGATTGGCTTCTCTTCTCTCTCTTTACTGGAAGATTGGTTCTTTGTAATTTCACGTTGAAAAAATTGTCATTAAAAAAAATCATTAGCATGATACCCAAGATTCTCATTATTAATTAGACCAATGGTAGAGGCAGTGCTGGCTGCATGCCAGGACACTAACCCGAAAAGTAGAAAAATGCTGTTACTTGAGGGCTTTGGCCTCCTCGGATATTTCAGTTTGGAAACTGAGGCTTTGCCGACACAAAGCCAAAACATCAGTTCAAAGGTCTTCTGTTTTGTATCAAAGATAAAAGTAAGTCGGCCAGCCAGAAAGTCTTTCAAACAGGTGCGGAGTGTAGAGAAAAAGAGAGACCGAGGGTCAGGCATTGCAAAAACACAGCTCGAGAGCCACCTCGCCTTTCGGTTTTATAAGAAGAACATATAAAACCAGTCAGTTGCTGCTTTGACAAAAATGTATTTCAGGTACAAGGTAAATCATTTTCAGGACTTTTGTTTTTAAGTGCTGAATCGCCTCAGAGTCACAGTTCTGATTTTGTTGGCACGTATCTGTTTCTTGTAGTTACAGATTAGATTAGTTCTGTGTAGTTTATTTATATTCCTAGGAGCCTTGATAACATTGTTTAGGCTTATTTTATTTTGTCAGATTTCGACTTTGTTACCTACAGGTAGAATTTTTTTAAGTATTTATTGGAAAGAACTTTATGTCTTTGATAGAAAAAACTT